ATTTTTATACTTCAATAGAGATTTGACGTTACGGGCATGCGCAACTAGATTCAATAGAAGCTCCCACACGCTGGGTATTGCGTGCCAAGGCAAAGACAGGCACGCTAGTCAAAGATCATTAGGGTTGACTATGACCTTGATGAAGCTCTATGTCTTCATCTAAACTTGGATGCATACTTCATCCCTGATGAAGTCATCCTCATAGTATTCGAGTGGTCTTTATATAAAGATCACATGTATCTTTATATAAAATCGCTTGAATACTAATGAAGAGGACTTTATCGGGTATAAAGGTTCATGCGCGTGACGTGTATGGTGGCTCCAATTGGACCATAAGCTTATGAATTATTAATGAGTGTTTTAATAATCTTTATTGCACATATAACTAAATATGCTCCATGAAAACTCCCTCATGTTGGTGATTTTCAGAGACGTCCTGGAATTAACTTAAAATGAAATAAACGGGAAAATAGGACAATATAGTAAAATCTTTTATTAAAGCAYAAATAATAAAATGTAAATTAGGCAAATGTATATAAAGATAAGATATGTAAAATATATTGTAAAAAGAATATATGAATTTGTGAAGCTAACTAAAGAAACTGCGTTTGAAGACTTGAATACTACTAGAGTTCCTTAATTCTTGACTTAGATCATTTCATTCTTTAACGGCCTGATATTCAATCCTTTGTTTTCCCCAGTTTGTTTTAACTCTAGGAAAAGTCAAGTTAACTTTACTCCTCACATTATAATCATATATATCAGCATTATTAGTGAATGTAAAGGTTTTTTGAGGCTATATTGTTAATACACTTGTAAATATATAAATATCTATGTAGTCTTCGACATTCCTTCAGGCGAACCCAACCTAGAGCATCAGTCGCTGACGAGTGTAAAGGGTTGTCTAAAATAATTCGAGCAGACTTATTTTGCATATTTGTAGCGATTCCATTATTTCTATGTTATTCTTGTTTCCCCATACAATATTTGAGTAGTCSAAAATTGGAAATAAACTACGTGTATTCAAGGGGAGCAGATCCTTTATCTTACGCCAAAAACTTAGACGTTGATTTATCTTGCAGGAAATAACCTCTACATGATCTTTCCACAGATGATAAAGTTACGCCAGATACTTAAAAGTATGGGCTGTTAAATAACATTATGTACGGTAATGGATAAATCATGCACTAAATTGTTAGTTTTCTTACTAATATATATATATTTAGGCACTGCCTAAAAGCGGAGCTCCCAATACGAAAGGCACAGGGAGAACAATTTGAATGAAACTGAAAGGTAAAAATAAGATCGGGGAAAAAATCTTCAATTTTTTTTTATTCGAGATGAAGATAATTTCTCCCATACTAAAAACCATGCAGTGAAATCGAATCGAAATGCAGTACACTGTTTTGTTGTTGTTGTTGTTTTTGTTTTTGTTGTTTTGCGCGAGTATACACTTAGGAATTTTGTACACAACTCATCACCACCCTCAGGTGCTAGTTTTGTTCTTGGAAGATTTTCTTCGACAAAATTTTCCAAGGCCGACAGTTTTAGGCTTTGAATCTCTTTTACTTTAAGAAAAACGAAAGATAACTACAGATAATCCAATACATTATCAAGTTTAGTGAAATTTACCTAGGATGTCTTTCAATGAAATCGAAAATCTGGAGATTTAGGACAAATCAAGACTAAAAAACAGACTTGAAAACTGGTTAAGGCGAGCAGAAAATTAAGCTTACTTATGTCTTTTACAGAACGAGACGAAGTTTACATTCAGTTAAACTTGACAAGAACAACTCAGTGAGACAAAATAGAAAATAATGCAAAAGGCAATGCCTAATACAAAATGACGAATTTCTTGTCAGTAAATTGGCGTTTGTAAATGTTTTTGAATATTTTTTAGCTTTTTAAAGTGAAAGACAAGGTCTTTATACAATAACATCTCTCAACAACACAAATTTAAACTCATTTTTATAATCATACTTGCTCGAACAGATTTAATAAACAGTTGAATATTTGGAGTAAAATTATATTTCATTCAATAATTAAAATAAATTATTATGTGTGGAAAGATATAACATTATTGAATGAAAGTCTTCTTTGTTTTGCCGATGGGACCCCGCGATAGGAGGCAAACGAAAAACTGAACGAAAAACATACGATAGTTGGTTAAAAACTTACATTAAAGATTTACAAAGCTAAATAAAGGACGAATATTTGTTGTCGTTGTAGTGTTTCTAAGTTGGGCTCCCTGTGGAGCCGGAATGCTCATGTAAGTTGGGCTCCCTTGGGAGGAAAAGTGATTGAGTAAAGATGGCGGCTGTTATCACATGTTGTTGACTCTGTGTCGTTTCTCGCTGAATCTGCTGCGCCTAGCTGCCATCGGACGCTACAGTAGTAATATGCTCTCCGTGTTATATTTCCTCCAGCATTAGAATAAAATCAAGCTTATCTATAGAAATATAAAAAGTTTTGAGAGAAAGTCTTTGATTTGTCGATTCGTCGAGGAAACTACTTGTCGAAAAAAAAAATATATATATATACGAATGTTTGCTAAAAAACACACACCTGAATTCTTGAAGAACACTCTTTGATCCATCTTTGACTACATGAAAGTATTTTTTTAATTGTTTTTGGTCTATATATAACTTGTCCTAAAGCGATTTTTTTCTGTGCATTTGAGAGCCGTATTTGTGAGTAGTTTTGCTTTGATATCAAGCGGGTTTCCTGTGTTGTGTACACGGATGGACGACGGACGGACGTACGGACGGAAGTGACGTCAGCCAAGCCATGAAAAATCAACTCGATGGTTTACCATTTTTTCTTAAGTATGGTGCTCCGCTAATAACAATTAGAATCTACAAGCATCCCAATACCAACTGCAACTGAACTACACACAGTCATCCAGGCCCTTTCTAGATCAAATTATAAGCTAGAAATTATTGATTTTTGCGGAGAGAGGAAAACTGGAGAACCCAGAGAAAACCCTCGAAGCACAGGAGAGAACCAACAAGCAACTCTACTCTCATACGAATAGGACGTTTGCATGATGGCGTCATTTGACTCCCACTACCATAATGCTTGGCGAATTTTCTTTCTTATTCAAATTTGTATTCCCTCATGAGAATAGTAAGACAATTGGTGCTGATTAACTGAACAGAAGAAAGTGTGCAAGGGAGTCTGGTAGTAGAGGTCAATGACGCCATCATGCAAACGTCCTATAGTCCGAGAATCGAACCCGGGTCGCAATGACGAGGCGAGCGCTAACCCGAGAAAAAACAAGGGTGAGCAGTGCATCATAATAAACTTTCTATAAGTATTCATTCAAAAAGAAAGAAGATAAAGATAAAACAACAAACAGCTGAATCTACATATGTTTAATTATTCTTAAACTCGAAAAACTTCTTGTTTTTTTTTTTTGTTGCACAATATTAAACCACAATAGTGACGACACTATATTCAAACCTAATAAAAAATACTAATGATTGAATCTAATTGCAGCTATATATATATATTTTTTTTTTTCGAGGAATAGCTAAACATTATTTTAGGGATTGCTATAAATAACCTAAAACTTCAGCATCTTGTTTTCTTCACGTATGAACTGAAAATCCTTCTCAAAAAACACACACAGCACTTTTTGGTTTAAGGTAATTCATCGGTTTTGAGCACTTTTTGAGCAAAAATGTAAGCGTTCAAATGTATGCAGACACCTTAAAGCAATTTAGTGGTTCATTAGCCATRTTACAGAGTATGAAACAACTAATAGATGAAACAAAGTTAATTTCCCCGGCTATCATATGATATCTTTAGGAATAAAAACGTCTGAACGCTAAAAACAATTTTTCACGAAGAATAATTCAAAGAAAATTCCAACTGAAAAACGTGCACTTAAAAGGCGCACGAGAAAAACACAGTCGTGTATAGGTTTGCCCGAAATTGCTGATAAATTTTTGGATGATGACGAACAACCTTCAGTTAACAAATAGAACATGCATAGCTGAATATTTTTTTTTCTAATTTATGGCCTAATCATTGTACCTTAATTTCTATATTTATTTATTTGTTGACTTTTAGATATCCATATTATTTTCTTTATACTTACCAAAATATGCAAGTATATATACTGTATCGTGAGAGTGCATTTTGCCTATTTAAGGCGGATTGGAAATTTTATTAGAATGAATGTCACAGCTGAAATTATCTCCATGTTGAGGGTAATTAGCAGTAATTGTCTTACCTCATCTCTTTTTGCTTTGTTAGTGTGTTTTCGAATCGTTAATGGTTGCTTTTGTATTTCGAATCCGAAACGGATTCGTGCTGTAACACTCACAATCAAAGCGTATAAAGGTAAAACTCAAACTGGTTAACATTAGAAGCTTACTTACTCGATAAACAGCAGACTAACATCCAAGTTGCTGTTTTGACTCTTCCTAAAGGAAAACATAAAGGTGCGTCCGTTAATCGCCAACTTAATCTCAATCTTTGGGGACGATGATCTATCGTACGCGTCTTTTACTTTATTTCTACTTGGTTTGCTCAGCCTTACCTTTCTTTAGTCTTGGTAAGTTATTTTGTACATTGTCGTGAAAGGGTACTGAAGTTTTATTGCTTATTTGTAGTTAATACTTAGCTTTACACCACTTTTTGCTGCACTAAAATGAATAAAAACTCACGAAATAGAAAAATGAAATATAGATGTCGTTCATCCCCTATTTTACATTTTTGTTGATACCAGATAACTGATACTTATTTATATTTCAGCTGTAATATTTCGTGGCCCCCAAAAATCAATGCCGGCAAATGTTCATTCCACTTTATATCACAATAATTATTCACTTCGCCTTCGGCGAATAATTGTTTTAGCATATACCAACTTGTGTACAGATTAACTTATTTTTATATACAATAATTCAATAAAAACAAACCAACAGAAAATTTTAGTTTGCGTGGCAAATTCACGCAAAACGTTTAGCAAATTTTTTAGGTCATACTTCGTTTCCTTTTTAGTATTGATAGGATTGGCATTTACTTTCATTTTTTCAATTTCATCATCGGAAATTGTAGCAAAACGATTGCAAGCAGGTGCCATTTTGTTGCCGACTCAATATTCCGAGATTCAGAAATGAATGTCGTACAATATTCACCTCCAATTAATCAATGAGCGCGCGCGTTTTTAGGAAGTACACAAGTTGGTATATACTAAGAGTCACATATCCGTAAATGATTATGCTCGGTCCCTCCATTACATCGTTCTTACTTTTTGGGGGTAGTAAAAGATGACAAAACATCGATACACAATTCAATCAAAAAGTATATAAAAAAATTATGGGATATCCCTCCTGATATTTTTTCAGAAAGCCGTATTGATAGACATCTCCAAAAAAAAACTTCGCTAAAACCGAAACTGCAGCTATATGCAATGCTGGAAAGGAACTTAGAAATGGCCAATTATTCGCATTGGCTTTTCATAACGGCGTAATTCAATATACAGTTCAATACAATACATCTTTATTCACATTTTTCTTTTATGTTAGATTACATTAAATTATATATTTAGATCATTGAGAAGAAAGAAAATACTTATTTGGTCAAATAAATAAAGCTAAATATAAGTTATAGTGAAAGGAAATGCCTAGAGCCTGAATAAACCATATAGTTTCATAGTTAGACGCTAGTCATGTTTTGTATCGGTTTGATGTAGGCAATAAACACGAGGGGAAAAAATTAGATAATATACAAACAGTAGACAAACAACGAACAACAACTATCAACCTGGTCATGTATTAGATGGTACTTAGAAATATAAACTTTTTCTAAAATTTTGATATAACCTAGATTTTTAGGAATTTTTTTTTTCGAATGAGATATTAAAATAGAGAGTCCCGTGCAAAATTTGAGGGTTTTGCCCTGTTGAAGCTCAAAACGCGTACGGGTTCTTCAACAAAATCTTGTAGATTTTTCAGCGGTTTTTGAGCGCGCATGCATCTTGGGCTCAGGTGGAACGTTCAAAAGCGAAGACACTACAGGTCTATGATGCCTTTAGGAATTTGCTGCCAATAATCGATTCCTAAAGCTGATGTTGTTTTTTTACCATTTTTTGGTTCTGAAACGTACCTTGTAGAAGTTACCCTTAGAGGCAAATCTAGTGTTACAGGAGTGGACGTTGCTTGCATATCGAAAGTAGTTGTCAAAGAGGCTTGGGAGCTGCTTATTATGCCATTGTAACTAAAGTATAAATATTTTTTTTACTGTATGGAGCTCCAATAGGCTTAATAGCGAAAGTGCGCTCTCCGTATTTTTACCATAAAAAGTAGCAAAAAACATTATGCGGACGATATGATTTTGTTTTACTTGTAGTTTTTTCAGGTGAGTTGCATAAGCACTACCCCATGCTGTGACAGCATATGACAAATAAGGATATATTAGGTTGTAATAGAGCTGTTTAAGGTCTTTCAAAGAATGAAAATGTCGTAATTTTAAGAAAATACCAGCGTTTCTAGATACTCTTGAACGAATGTATGCTATGTGGTGTTTCCATGAAATTGTGTCATCAATTAATACACCAAGATATTTGATATGGTCTTTCCTTTCTACGTAATGGTTTGAACCATCACTACTCATAAATTTTAGATTAAATGAATTGTTAATTTTCTTTTTACTAGATTTAATAACCATGTAATTAGTTGTTTTTTTAATTGATTGAAAGTTTATTCAAATTGCACCATTCTTTTACTTCTAATGACTCGTGGTTTACAAAGGTTTCGATTTCAACAATGTTAGGGGATGATTCAAGTATATTAGTATCATCTGCAAATATTYTAAAAGATAGTTTTTCAGAGGATTTAACAATATCATTTATGTAAATAAGAAACAGCAGTGGGCAGAGCGAGCTCCCTTCACGAATCGTACGTACTAATAGATAATTAGATGCACGGATGGAGTACGATCCGTCCAGATCGTAGGAATGGTGAGGGGCCCCAGGTGGAACTACCACAGGGTGACCATAACCATTTTACAGAGACGGTGACAAAATCACTTCACAAAGGGTTACCGTGAAAGGTTAAGTGCGCACAACTAATTATATGTATATTTTATGCATATCAATGACTTTCACGAATCGTACGGATCATGATGCACACTGACGATCAGTATCAGTTCGACAGTATTGGACATGACCTAACAAACCAAGACGTATATTATGGCTAACTGTTTTAAACCAAAAACAGTGCTTGGAAAAAGTTGCAAAATCTAGGACTTAAATGTTTGCGGCTACGAAGTTGAACTTATAACAAATATTCAATAAATTGCAGTATGTTATAAACCGAGTGAAAAGAGAAAAAAAGGAAAAAATACCCTTAAACGCAGAGACACTTTGTATTTTTTAGGCAAAACCACTATTCGTCTCCAGCCTAATACAGCAGGGTCAGGTGTTTCTGGAATATTACAAGTGAAACATAATGGTCAATGGGGAACAGTATGTAACGATGGATGGGATATAAAGGATACATTCGTTGCATGCAGACAACTTGGTTTCGCTAAGGCCATAAGGTATTGGAAATACGGCACAGGAAAAGGATCAGTATTGCTGAATTGGATGGAGTGTACAGGATTGGAGACGACACTGGAAGAGTGCAATCATGGTGAATGGGGAGTTTCTTCAATACTGTGTGATAAACACGTCCACGACATTGGTGTAGTGTGTTCTAGCCACAAAGGTACGCTAGGGGCACAGTTGGAAAATGCATGGTTAYGATTACAGTCAGGTACACAAGGATTTAGCTTTGCAGGTATTCTACAGGTCTATCACAGTAATCAGTGGGGAACAGTTTGTTTTTGGCCTAATGCATGGGATATAACAGACACCAGAGTAGCATGCAGACAACTTGGGTTTAGTGAAGCAATAGGATACTGGCACGAAGCAAGAGGAGAAGGCAAAGTTTGGATGAAAGATGTACGGTGTACAGGACAAGAGACATCTCTTCAAAAATGCCGTCATGAAATATTGAAAGAAGACGATGCTAATTGCAAAAATCACAAATTTGACATTGGCATTGTGTGTTCTGGATTTAACAACGGTAACTGCTTTGTTTAAAATATTTTGAATGACTTTCTCAGGATTGCTTTCTAAAAATAAAAGATTTCAAAAGATTTGCAATCCTCCCACAGCGAATAGAGTTAGTTGTTAAGGTTGTTAAGTAGTGTCTTTCTTCTTTTTGCAGTGCGTCTTGTTGGTGGGGCTGATAGAAATGAGGGCCGTATCGAAGTGAAACTGGAAGGGGCCTGGGGCACTGTGTGTGGTGATCATGGCTGGACAATTGAAAATTCTAATGTCATCTGTAGAATGCTTGGTCACAAACAAGCCGTAAGAAACCAGAAATTTGGGGCCGGTAGCAAATCTAAGCCAATATGGCTGCAACAGCTTTCGTGTAAGGGATGTGAGATGTCCATGGCAGAATGTCAAATTACCAATTATAGCTTGCCAGACTGCAACCACGAAAAAGATGTTGGTGTTGTTTGCCTTCCAAAAGGTATGTCATGGTGTTTCCAAACTTGAATAACAAATGAATCAAATTATATAATATTGGGGTTATGTCATCGTTTAACCAGAGATAATTTCATTTTCTATGACTATTTCATTACCTTAATTAAATCTAAAGATGAAGCAAACATTACAGTTCGTTTGGTGACTGAAGGCGTAAGCTCTATTGGTCGAGTAGAAGTTCGTTACCATGGAATAYGGAAATCTATTTGTGCCAATAACTGGGATATACGAGATGCACACGTGATATGCAGGATGAAAGGACATGAAAGAGCATTAGTAGCTATGGCAACAAGAAAAGGGAGCAATGATAAAGTGTGGCTGGATTACCTTGACTGCTCAGGAAAAGAAACAGTTATTGATGATTGCAAAAACGTGACGTGGAATTGGAAAAACCAGCCTTGTTCAAATGATCTACGTGCTGGTGTGGTATGCTTTTTGAAAGGTAAAGAAAGCATAGTTTTCATTCAAGTTATTAAACCTATCCAGCCATTAAATACTCTTAGGAAATAAGATACATCCACCTTTCGTATAGATTGGGGAAATCTTCGCAATTTTTCAAAGTTTAATATATTACATACTTTATGACTGTCACTAATTTTTTAAATATTGTTTCTACAGACGAATTAAGATTGCAATTTCACATCGTGAAAAGAATAGCCACACATGCTGGGAGGCTTGAGGTTGAATGTTACGGCAAAAGAGGAAACCTTTGCATTGATAGATTAGACTTGAATGCAGCACACGTGATTTGCCGCATACTGGGATATCAGAAGGCAGTTACTGTTTATTCAATGGACCAACAATCTAAGACCAGTTTTTCTCTGTCACTAAGATGTGATGGCTCTGAACATTCTACAGACAAATGTACGGAAGTGATTTTGAACCAGGTGGACAGATGTTACAATAACGAAGTTGCAGGCATTATATGCAAACCAAAAACAGGTATACCTTTAGTTTTTGAATGCTAGATTTACAAATAAATTTGGTATTCGTAACGTTTTCCATAGAAGTCTTGCACTATAAAATGTGGGAGCCATGACAGGAAGCAAAAGAATATTGTCTTTATAAAACAATAGAAATCGCAACGGAAATGGTTACCGAAAGCTTTTTATTTCTTTGTTTAGAATACAATAAAAAGGAAGAACTTCGTTTGGTGGAAGGCTCAGGTGATCATGAAGGTCGTGTCGAAGTTAAACATCATGGCGTATGGGGTACAGTGTGTAGTGATGGCTGGGACATGCGAGATGCTAACGTGGTCTGTAGAATGAAGGGTTATCAAGGAGCAATCACGGCATATAAGAAATTTCCACAAGGTTCTGGTGCAATATGGCTTACTGGCTTGAACTGCAAAGGGCATGAAAACAGCACAGTCGATTGTGATCGCGAGGGACTGGACAAGACCAAATCATGCAGCCACAAAAATGATGTTGGTGTGGTTTGTTATTCTGGAAAAGGTCAGTTCACGATACGATACTACACATCAATGAAACAAACTTTTTTACTTTTGAAGTTTTACTTTACTTTTTCATTAGATCATTTGCAGGTTAGTTTAGAGATGGATAACAGGAGCTCACTCTATGAGGGCCGTGTAAAGATCAAGGTTAATAACGAGACTGGAACCATCGATGATGAGCAATGGGACATCCATGATGCTAATGTTGTTTGCAGAATGTTAAAGTTATCCAGAGCCATAGCAGCCATCAGCTTGTTTAGGGAAGAACCGGTCAAAGTTTTCTTCTCTAAAGTACGATGTAATGGAACAGAGGAGTCACTAGAGATGTGTGATCACGGTGGATGGGGAGCTGGAACACRAGATCACGGTGGTTATGATGCTGGAGTGATTTGTGCTAGACCATCAAGTAAGGCGTATTATGTTTGTGCATTATTAGCCAGGGTAGTCCTTCTAGAATTTATTATGGATACAACAGCAAAACAAAACAAAACAACAGTAAAACTGTAAAACTGTAATGCAAGTGATGAAATCATAATTTTAAAAACATATACCAAAGTTTTGTTGTGGTATTAATTTTAATTTGGATTTAGTTGCACAAGCGAAGATGATGGATAGTGCTGAAAGCAATGATGGGGCTGTGACTGGCTTGTCAATCCTGATCGTCATACTCATCATGGTTATTGTTGGTGCCTTTCTTTGGTATTTCTTTAAACTGCGGAACGAGAAAAACAAAGATTCTCAGGATAAAGCGCAAGGTTAATATTGTTGTAATATAATGAAATTTGACTTCATGCATAATTCAACAGCAGATGTTAGAGTTACATTCTATTGGCTTTTAACACTTGTTACAGGTCATACTTTTGGTCAACAACATAATAAAGTAATTATATAGAAATTAACCCAGATACCTCGACTTGAAATAATTCACCTTCTAAGCGCTAGCTATCATGTGGTATCAAATGTGGTGGATGGTGTTACGGTCACCAAGAAGTTCGGACATTGTTCTCGGATTTCTGTACGAATGTAGTGAGTTTCTAAAACAATTATTTACTCGGTTTGTTTAGTAAGCTCTCTAAATACAAGCAAAAAATTTTCATTTCTCTAATTTAAATGATGCTTTTCTTACTGCTGTTTAAAAGCGTAACTAAAGAAATCGATCTGAATTTCCTTTTTAAATTCCGTGAATTTGTATTGGAATCCGAGAACGATGTCCAATCTTTTTGGTGACGGTAACACAAGCAATAATGTTGTGCGCTTGCGTTCAAAATGTGAATTCAGCTTGAAGCCAATGGATTGCAACTGATATCTCGCATTAACTATCCAGCATTCGATATTATTAACAAGACGATTTGAAAAAATATTCAAAAATCAAAAAAGGCTAAAGTAAAATAATAATAATAATAATAATAATGATAATGATAATAATAATAATAATAATAATAATAATAATAATAAAAACATACAGTATTTATTTTCTGAATCATCTAGGGCTACAGATGGAAAGGCAAGTGGCCAGCGGTAGTGGTGGAAACGTCACTGAAGATTACTACCAGGCCCCTCCGTCCCTTGGTGATCAAAGATACGTCACAAGTCAGGAAAGTGACCGCGCAGTGCGTCAATCCCGTGGAAGGGTAGGTATAGAAATCAATCACTTCACTGATTTACAACAACTGCATTATAATCTTCGTTTATATGTTACGGTTTTGGGTCGCTTTACAAGATGAAATAATGAAGCCGACCAAACATCTTTGCTTTGACATGCAATGGTCACAGCTTGTTTACTATCTTAGACAATGATTATATTTTTCAATTTATATTTTTTGCTTCAGAACGCGAGGAATGTACAAGAGAGTGAGGAATCCATGTACTTAGAAGTAAGGAGATAAAAGAATTGGCATACAACACGAGACTGTGGCACCTGTTTACATATGTACTGACAGCTAGAATAATCTGGTTTTGACTTTTCCAGGAACGGCTAAAATTTAATATTTTCATCATTATTACGGTTTGTGTGCATTTAGCTAGTTTTTCAAAAACATGTTTAATAAAACTGATCACGAGGAAACAACACAGTTGTAGAGGCTGACATTAGAGGATATAGTGCAAAATTAGACTAAACAAGAGGAATAAACAAGATGTATGTTTCAGGAAGCCTGTATGTCAGTATATCTCACATTATGACTGTAATCCTGCTTCGGCATTGTCATTTGGAATGTGCGAATAGCCAAACATGGGCTGCGCATAGATGGCCACTTTTTCCCACGAGACCCCTCAAAACAATAACCCTAAACTCAAACATAAAAATCCTAACACGCAAAACAAAGGCGCGGCACTACGGAAGGTCCAACACTCAATTCAAGCATCAAACGTTCAAAACAAAGTCCTAACACTCAAAAGAATGTCTAAACACTCAAGACTCAACAATACTCGAAATAAGTACAAATGGAAGTTAGTCACCTTTCCTTTCGTAATAGCTACCAATGTATAAAACAAATTGAAGAGGAAACCGTGRGGAAGAGTGTACGATGGCTGAATGAAGGATATATACGTAGCACGCTGACAACGGTTTCGCACGCTGACACAGGGCTTTCGGACTTTGGGTTTACGGTTAAATAAGCTGTACTGGTCAGATCTGCTCTGTTGGGTATGCTCTTTGTGGGACGTCTCCGGTGTTTATATGTAGCGCACTTTCTATTATAAGCAGCCAAAAGACTGCTTACTGGGAAGAGAATGCTTATTGAGAGAGTGCGTCCGTTACGTTAACAACGCATGGTTATCAATTTGAATTTAATCGTCCATCGATTTACCGTCCAGATCAGATTACTGCAACTGATTTCTATCTGAAACCAAAAGAACCCATAATGGGCAAAGACTTTTCAAAGTGTTTACTCCACCAGACTCCAAAAAACCGGGTTGCCTGTGGTTTCGCTAGTCCTGCGGACTTGGGATTAAACCTAGTCTCCCTCGCATCCATTTTTAGTGTCGGTCGTCAAGCAACGCTCCCTCCCCACAAACGGCTGCTTGCATTCGAACTACATTCCTTTCTCATTGTTTGGATTGTACCAATGAGGTCGAGCGTATTGTTTCCTAATGAGCCGATCACAGTGTCCAAAAGTATAAACATGCATGGTGAGTTTCAATTGAGCTGCCGAAGAACCGTTTTCGCCGTTTTCGACTTCACACCGTTCTTCCTCTTCCAGTGAGCTTATCTTCACAGCACTAACTCCTAAACAACGTAACTTTGAGACTTGGTCATCCATTAGACGTATTATTAGCGACCTTTAGATACGACGACGAGTAAGTAGAGGAGTACGAGTAACACAGGGAACCCGGCTATATATTTTTTGCTTCTTTTAGAAAATTAACTTTGCTCTTTGTGGGTTTCCTGTGTTGTAATCAGTTTCCTTTTACATAAGCTGTAATCAGATCTGCGCGCTGTAATCAGATCGGCGCTGTAAACTGACAGCCCGTTGGTGTTTTGTTTCTTATGTGTTGCCTGTGGTGTGTAACGCACTTTCTAGTAAACACTCAAAAGAGGAGAAGGGCTGCAACAAAGCAAGTGTCCGATTTAAAAACCCCTGTTCAAATTATTCATGAAGGTAATTTATTAATAAAAAACCCACGTAATGTTTGCTCAATAAATTAACTTTTAGAAATTGATATTTATATGCATATGACTCAAACAGAATATTTAGTATCTTGTCATTCATATCATGATTGACAAGATTCTTGTACTTTTACGGCATAGGGTATTAAAATACGAATACCTATCGAATACGGCATCTTATAGTTTACTCGTTGCCAAGAAACTATAAACAATCCAAACAACACTCATGATTCTAGTGATTCATACTATCTAGTAATCTATAAGATTAGACTCATACTGGAATACGGCATCTTATAGTTTACTCGTTGCCAAGAAACTATAAACAATCCAAACAAAACTCATGATTCTAGTGATTCATACTATCTAGTAATCTATAAGATTAGGCTCATACTGGAATACGGCATCTTATAGTTTATTCGTTGCCAAGAAACTATAAACAAATAAATCCAAACAGCACTCATTCTAGCGATTCATAGATCTAGTAACAGTAAACTCATACTGGAATACGGCATCTTATAGTTTATTCGTTGCAAAGAAACTATAAACAAATGAATCCAAATAGCACTTATGATTCTGCTGGTTCTTTAGCGAAAATGTACTTATGGATCACTTGAGGCAGTGAGGAGGCGGGGCTTAGTTCTGTTTTCTATGAATAATAATGAACCATGTTCACCAAAATCTTCATTAAAATCTTTAGATAAAAATGGATACTATTAAACAAAATAGTTTAATAATGATTTTGGGCTTGTTGCTGAATATACAAGAGAGTCTTTAATATCCAGGTCGCAAGCGTCAACATTTCTTCATATGAGACAAGTAAATTTTAGTTCAAAAGTTGCCTACATATAAAATTTCTTAAACATTACCGGTTTTCGATGGCAAATGGATACTATTTATGTCGTTCTAATTTCTGTTTTTTAACTGCGAAGTATTACTTTGACATTTCAACTTTAGTTTTCAAGCCGCAAGCCCGGTATTTTGTTAACGCAAGTCCAAGAAAAAATTGTCTTGTATTAACGTGTCTGTCGCAAAATTGACTCATTCTTTTGTAAATCGAGTCAAAATTTTCAAACTTCCCGTGCGCTTCAGTGATTACGAGCGTATGCAAATGAGGCGGCAAAGGCAATAYGTCCGGGCATTCTGCGCCATGATGACGCAATCGAAACATGAAAATCATCAAGACTTCCTGCTGGTTGTACTAAAGTAGCTGGTCCGAGCAACTGGAGGTGTTGATCATACGATAAAACTTGCTTTGTTGCAGCTCTTCTCCTCCTTTGAGTGTTTACTAAAGTCTTCCTTTTGGTCGAGGATCGAGTGTCGAGGGTACCACGTCGAGGGTCGAGGGTACCATGTCGAGGGTCGAGGGTACCACGTCGAGGGTACCATTAGAAATAAACAAAGAAATTCTATTAAAAAATATTGGAAATAATAATTTAAAATGTTTAAATAATGATCGTTTTGGCTTGCTTTGTAGCGCGTTGTATTGTGTTTGTCAGTCATCACTTCGGTAAAGGTCACTTTCACGTTGTTAATGGTCGTTACGCTCCTCCGCGTGAGACTCAAACTGAATACAAATAAAGTTCAACATTTGCAAGAGTTATCCAAAGTAACCTATCTACTTTTGCAGTTTATCAACAAAAGTATGAGTTTTCCTTAGCGCCGGAATTAAACCCTAAATCGAAAAATGAAGGACACGATTGCAATAAATAATACTGTAACAGGATACAATGTCATGCGGTCAGAGTGCGTTACCAACGGTTATTGATTTGAATTTAATTGGCTATCAGTTTACAGCGCCGATCTGATTACAGCGCGCAGATCTGATTACAGCTTATGTAAAAGGAAACTGATTACAACACAGGAAACCCACAAAGAGCAAAGTTAATTTTCTAAAAGAAGCAAAAAATATATAGCCGGGTTCCCTGTGCGAGTAACGCTAAATCGTAGTCGATTTCCGATTTTTTATAATCTAAGGTTTCAATCTATTTTATACACGATCAAGACTACAAAGAGATAGTGCCAATCTTTAAAAGTTTTAACTCGGACTCGTTCTCGTACTCGTCGTCGGATCTAAAGGTCTCAGTTAAAGGAGACACAACAACCAACGATGTGACCAGACTCTTGTTTATATTTGTAGTCAAATATGAGAGGCAGAGCTTGGTAAATTAGAGATTTCCCAAACCCTGTTGGAAGATTGACAAAAWTTTTTTTTTCTCTTCGACTAAAGTATTGATAGCCGACTTCTGATGCGCATTTCGATCAGGAATACCGAACTTTGAAGACACGAGGCCAAACATGTACACTTCTTCTATGAACGAGTTGAGAATGGTCCGCGAACGGTTCTCTATAGTAACCCGTCTTGTGATTGGTCAAACAATGAGAAAGGAATATAGTTCGAATGCAAGCAGCCGTTTGTGGGGAGGGAGCGTTGCGTGACGACCGACACTAAAA